AGACGAGGAGAGCGAGAGGAGAGAGGGGGGGGGGGAGGGAGAGAGAAAATAAGGAAAAGTGACGACGACAGAGAGAACACGAGGGGGGGGGGAAGAAGGAGGGGTGAGTCACTTTCATAATAATTATCACTGCCGCATTGGCGTGTGACGTCACCTCCCCGTGCGGTTGCATTTGGAGTGCTGAAGGACGGCCGCGGCGCGGCGGCGCCTGTTCGTTGCTTATTTGCTCAGCACAGGTGCTTTATCACTAGGAGCCGGCAGGGAGAGCGGTGGGCGGCACGTCGGGCGGCGCCTCCCCCAGCGCCGTCGGCGTGGCAGCGGCCGGGGCGGCTCGAGGCACGCGCCGCGCCCGCGACGTAGGCAACCTGTCCGGCGTGAATGCCTCCCCCTTCTCCTCTTCCGTTGTGCCCTCTCTCTCTCCCACCCTTCCTCTCTTTCTCTCTCACTCCCTCCCAACCCCTTCCCGATCTGGTCTTCCCTCTCTCTCGCTCTCACCTCCCCACCACGGCGCAGGATCAGTGTCAATCATCTCGTGGCAGGGGGCGACGTTCGCGAGCGACCTTGCACTGCCGTTGCCGGTGCTGGGCGTGCCCCGGCGGCGTGGCCACAGGTGGTGGTGGTGCGTGTGGTGGGGTGTGGTAGTAGTCGGTTGTTGGATGTGGTGTTGTTGGTATGGTGCCGGCACAAAGACCCTCCTCTCCGCGCCACGGGCCTTTTCTTCCCTTTCCTCTTTTCACGTTTACACGCTGGTTCTTTTCTCCTTCGTCTCCCTTTATTTTACCCCTCCCATGCGCGCCTCCAATGTATCCCTTTCTGTCGCCCGCAACCTCACAAAACGAAAGGCAAGGAAAAACGAACATAAATTATCGGGTGAGTATGCGGTCGCTAACTTCCTCGTGTGTGTGAGCGTGCGTGTGTGTGTTGGGGAGAGAGATGGAGAGTCGACTCCAGCCTGTAGCCATCGTCGCCGGGGGCGGAAGCGTTCTCCTTCGTGCGGCGGGGGCTGCCGGGGCAGCATGGGCTGGGGGCCCTTGTCGTCGAAGGGATCATCTAGAAAGTACGTTCTGTCATTCGCCGCTAAGAAAAAACAGCCAAGTTTAACCTTTAACCTATTTAAGCAGCCATAGCGCCTGAT